TTTTTTATATTTGTTTGTCCAATTGACATCTACATCCTAATCTTTCTCTCATCTCGCGCATCTCTATCCATTGTAGTGCTCTGTTGGATTGGAGTGAAGGTGGTAGTGGTACATGCCAATGTCTTGAATCTTGGATCAACAGGTGGAGCAGTTACAGCCTAGATCAGACGCGACCAAGGGATCTCAAACATTTTAGCGTTTCTTATTGTGGGATACCACGCCTGACTCCTTCTCCTGGTGTTTCTAATTAATAATATGCGTATAGTAAGTTGAGTCAATAATNTACTTTTTGTTGACTTGGTAGCGACAATTGACCCCATAGCAAAGACCCCGAAAGAGCGAATGGGCGATGATCACGCCCTCTCTGAAGAGTAAAGCACGACGTATTTTTCAACCTGCACTGTGCATATCACGCTATTCGCCAAATATCGCAATTTACAATCCCACGTCAGCACAAGCCTCTTATTCACAGCTGATACTTTTAAGTCTCAAGCTATCTCCATAATGGAGGGGTTTGAAGAATTCCTTAATCTACGAGGCATACATCGGTCATTGAATAATAATCACACAACCTCCACGGCCTTTTCGCGTCACCAAATCAGAGTCCAGCCGCAAGATGACTATGATATGCTGGATGATGAAGATTTGATCGCGGCTTCTAACTTTGTTGAAGCTGATATGGTTGAAAGTATTTCCAATGATAATGAAGTTCAACCCGACCATGATCATGAAAGACATGACGATGCTCATGCGGAAAACGATGAACAATTTGACGTGAGAGATCGATCTAATGATGGTATTGAGGAGCAACATATGCTGTTTATAGAACACGCAAATGCTCTGGAGTTTGGTACCAACCGTATTACCACAGGTCGTGGACAGGTTGGACCCCAGGCTCATCGACTGATTGAAGAGTACACCGAGGAGATAAGACGTACTCTACAAGTGGAGTTTTCAGATCTGGACGGCGAGGACGAGGCATATGACTCGATATCTGATGACGATACCCCTGTTTATACGTCGAGCTCTTCTCGTGTCAACAGAGAAACAATGTCCTGCCTTGAAGAGTTGGATGACAATTTCAAATATACAGAAAGAAAACCATCAAGTGTGAGATTTAAATATCACCGTTCACACGATAAAACAAACTTTATATACTCGCCACCAGTGAAGACGATAGATAGAGGTAGTTTTGTGGTCGATATTGAACCTCATCAAGAGCTACTTTTATTGAAACAAGCTCCCGCGGAAAAGTTTTACAATGGAATGGAATTAAATGTGGCAGGAACAACCACTTTAAAGTCAATGAGGGGTTGCATGCAATACAAGAACAACTTGAGTTGTGTTTTTGCCCATGATGGTGGCGATTATCTAGTTGTTGCTTGTAATTCGAGACTCGATATATACGACTTTGATCTGATGACGAATTTGCCAAATGAAACCCCTCGTTTGATGTTTGATACCAAGCCTACATTTACATCAACCACAGATAGGGTTGTTGCCGCAAGTCCGTATTTCCCACATGGTATCAACTATGTGAAAAGTTGTCAGTTTCTTGGCAAGACGGTTGTTTGCGCATGCATCGATGACGGACGTTTGTTAATATGGTACGTTGATGCACTCGTTGAGCAATTGAAACGACACCAGCCATCTGCTGAAGAGGTTCAATTCAGAAACTTGAAAATACCTCCGAGTTTCAAGATTAGATTGAGTGCCTCTTTGTGGGGACTTGATATAAAGGACAATATTATTGTTGCCTCGGATAACTCGCAATGTATTGTGTTGTTATACTTCCATGAACAAGATGGGAGATTTTATCATGTGAAATCACATCAGCTTCTACATAATATACCTAGCGTTGCCATCATCAAGCATACGCATGGAGCCGTTGAAGTTTCGTGTGTTACGATTGCAGGAGAAGTTGTAGTTCTTGATTTTCAATTCAAGCTCGTTTTGGGGCCATTGAACAAATCTGACTTGGAGTTTTTCCAACATAGGGCAGTTTATTATACAGATCCAATGATTGAGTCTTTGGAATATGGTAATGGGGATGACGAAGTATATCGACACAGGCATTTGGATCACTATGAGGATAGGGATTTGATTAGTAGTGCAAGGACTGTTTTCAAAAGGGTTGAATTTTATCCTCCTTCGCTTTTGTCGCGATGTGTCGTTGATGAGGATTGCTGGACAATCCAACCATTTCGTCGTAGTTGGTTTCTACCGGTGGGTTCATTGCAATCGGTGTTTGGTGATTGTGAAATTGACGATGAAAAAGAGTGCGATAGGATAATTGCAGAAAGCATCGTTTTAAAGTCGAAACAAGGATTTCAATTGCAAAGGGAGGGGGAGGTGTTGCAAGAAGATGGGAAAGATGATGTGATTGATTCTGGAACTGGTTTGGGTCTGGCTGCCAACTACCAATTTTACCAATGCGACTCAATCGATTTTCACGGAGTTGAACCTCCCGTTATTCGTATGCCAGCTACTGCCAAAATGACGGATATCAATGATGAGTATAGGCGAATTCATAGGGATATTTTACTCCATGAGAAACTGAACAAAATTGTTGATGATTTCTTGGCTGTTACAACTTCTAAAAAGATGGCTTTATTCAAATATCCCAGCTTGTATTGTCCTTGTGCGACTAAGCCTTTGTTTAATTTGGACTTGCATAAGAAAACCGAAAGTTGTTATTCAAATAGGCTTTCAATCTCAGCCGTGATTCCCGAATTGTCATGCTTCATTGGTGTTTCTCAACAAGGAATAGTGACAATTATGCGAATGTGCACTTATCGAGGAGTTTATGGAATGCGACAGGAGCATGTGTTTCCTAATGCTTTTAAGGTAGCAGCCACTGCCGATGGTGGCAGTTACCGAACCATTGTTGGGTTGAGTGTACGAGAAAAGAAGAGTCAAGTTGGTGTGAATAATGGTGATTGTTCAACTGTGTTTGATAGCAGTTGTATTGATGGCGTGCGGGCGAGTGAGATAAAAGACAGCCCTTCATATTTACTTTACATTTTGTATGATGATGGGAAGATACTTGGGTACAGCTTGCTGGAGTAATCAGAATGACATTTACCTGTATCAATGGTTGTGAGTGGTGAGGTTTCAGTTTCCAATGAAATATATGTGTATATAACTGAAAAGTACAGTTTACTGTGTGGTACAAAGTACTTCTTGTAAACATATGGTGTAATACAATTGAAAATTGGCAAAAGATATCTCTAGAAAAAAAAAAGAAAAGAGAGAGTGTTGCGGATAGCATTTACTATAGCAAAACGTGAGTACATTTCAGCTCGTTTATTAAACCTAAGGAAATGAATTTCATAAATTGGGGCGTGTGGCGTAGTTGGTAGCGCGTCTGCCTTGCAAGCAGAAGGTCATGAGTTCGACTCTCATCTCGTCCAAACTAAATAATTTGAAGGCATATCAAATTACAAAATAATTTTTTTTTTTTGGCATTTCTTAAGGGGTTTTCTTTTTTCTTTTTTTTTTTGTCCATTGGAAACCACTATTTGTTTGGTCCGTGGTCATTTCTCTTGGCTAAGGCGTATTGTTTTTCATATATGTTTTTTATGCAAATCGTTGGATACCAAAAAGGGGAGTTGTATTTATTTGGGAGTTTATCTTTATATATCTTTATTCTTTTCAGTCCGCATACTTAAAACTGAATTGAACTGTTTTTTGTTTTTTGTTTTTTTTTTTTTTGATTTTGTAGACGGTAAGGAGTGAAAGAGGAGAAGAGGAAGAAGTGTGTAATAAATAATTTGAAGTGATGGGGTTTTGTAATGTTGAAATAGGGTTAGTATATTGTAAATATGGGGGAAAAAGAAATGTATCAACTTTTTGAATGATTTTGCAACAAAAAAATTATGTAAACCCACCCCAAAACACACTTGATAAAATTGGAATTAAATACGTTGACAACCGCGGCCAGCTTAGCTTTTGATGGTAATTGCCTCCGAAGAAATCCGTACGTAGAAATCGAATTTACTTTAAAAACTTACTCTTTTTTTTTCTTTTTTTTTTTCTCTCTGTGTTCCCCATATTTCATCAGGCAAGACAAAAAGCCTTTTTTGATTGTATTACGTTGAGTGCTACAGAAGTTTGAACGAATTGTGGCAGAGTTTCAGCCAATGACAAAGTGCTTTAAATAACTGAGTAATAAAATAGCAAAAGGGAAATGAAACTCCGAAGAGGTGTATTATTTGTAAAGGGGTAAAATTCCGGGGAAGAACTCTGTTCTATAGAAATTAAGGAGGGAACAAAAATAAAAGTAAAAAAAAAAAAAAAAAAAAAAAAAAAAAAAAAAAAAAAAAAAAAAAAAAAAAAAAAAAAAAAAAAAAAAAAAAAAAAAAAAAAAAAAAAAAAAAAAAAAAAAAAAAAAAAAAAAAAAAAAAAAAANAAAAAAAAAAAAAAAAAAAAAAAAAAAAAAAAAAAAAAAAAAAAAAACAAAAAAATGGAAAACAGAATAAAAATACTTTGACATAGTTCGTGCACTATGGTTAATTCCGCCACTTTCCAAACCGGAGTTTTGTAAAATTGTGTAACAAAGCACTACAAGAGTGACGGAGTTAATGCATATATGAAGGTAAACAATAGTCGGTTGTCATAAAATAATATAGCATGCTATGCATAAAATCCGTTGAGAAATTGTCTATTATTTGTTGGACGCTTGTTTTGTTCTCCTGAAGCAAACAAAACAAAGGCAGCATTGTATAACAACACAAGGTAATGATGGTTATTTTGTCACATGGGCTCTGATGATGAGCAAAATTCACAATGTATGTGTATATACATATACATAGATGAGATTGCATGTGACAGGTATACTGTAGGTTTATAATATTCTCTTTTTTTTTTTTTTTTTTTTCAATGAGTAAAGAGATGTGTGATGCGGTAAGCAGCTGTATCTCTCAAGCACTCCGAGTGAAGGAGTACAAGATACGATATACACCGTTATACGTTTTATTATTATTGTGCTCAAGTTACTGCTAGTGTTGTATTAAACTCATACTATAACACAAGAATAAGGGACACACACACACACACATAAGTTCTCTCACCAAATCAGGAAAATAAAAAAAAAAAAAAAAAAAACCAAGAAAAGAAAAAAGAACAAGCAAAGGAAATTATATGCAGTACATGATACTACTAAAAAATAAAATAATAAGTGTGGGGTAAATTACTATTTAGTTTGACAGTAGTGTATAGTAATAATTACATAGCGATGATTAGACTACTATTAAATTGAAAGTGAAATGGAATGATGATGCTGATGATGATGACCTCTCCAATGGTTACAGAAGATTAATAGAGTTTTCCATCACGCCATGTAAAGTTGCTTCCCCACTTTCTTCTCTCTTTCTCTTCAACTTTCCTGTTCAGCTTTCTTTGGTGCTGTTTTCTGTTGGGAAGGAGGAGGGGGGGGAGGCATCTAATTGAACTATGTAAAGAAAATTGTTAGTGTTTGTGATTAAGTAAAATGAAGTGAAGATACACACGCACTGTAATACTATTTTACATAATTTCCGTTGGTAGCAGCAAAATTCATAATGTGAATATATATATTTATATATATATATATACTTTGTTTTGTACACAAAAAGGACAGAAAAAAAGAAGAAGACAACAAACAACAAACAACAACAACAAAAATAATTGAAAAAAAATAGAAATTAAATTATCACAGTCTTCTAATATGAATTATAATATAGAGTATACAGAATATACAGAATATATATACAGAATATATATATATATATAAACCCTTGCCTTTCTTCTCATAAAATCTCTCTCTCTCTTTCTCTCAATTGCAACATACTTCTTCAGAACAACTATCAAACCAGACACACATTATTACCAACTCGATTTCCTTTACTACTTAACTACTGTACTTTGATTCAAAAGAAAAAAAATAAAAATAAAAATAAAATAGCTCACACTTAGACTACTATTCACACAATGTCATCCTCCTCCTCCTCCTCCTCCATAATAGATCACGTTACTGACTTTGGTCAAGAGCTACTTCCGTACTTGACTAAATGGTACACCATTGTCTTTCTCATTGTACTCACTTATATCCCACTATTAAACCTTAGAAACTACTACGTTGCTTGGAAATTGGGATGTCAAGACCCACCTAAATTCAGTAAGGCTGGCTTTACTGGTGTCTTTGCCTTGATCGAAGCAGTTAAAAAGAAGAATGCAGGAAGATTAGCTGATTGGGGTGATGAAGAATTTGACCACTACCCAAACCATTCCTTATACTTGAATGTTGTTGGATTGTTAAAGATTGTATTCACTGTTGACCCTGAAAACATTAAAGCTGTATTGGCTACTCAATTCAATGATTTTTCCTTGGGTACCAGACATGCACATTTCGCTCCTCTTTTAGGAGATGGTATTTTCACCTTGGATGGTAATGGATGGAAAGATTCACGTGCAATGTTGCGTCCACAATTTGCTAGAGAACAAATTGCCCATGTTAAGTCATTGGAACCACATTTACAAATTCTTGCTAAACATATCAGATCCACCAACTTTAACACTTTTGATTTACAAGAATTGTTTTTCAAATTTACTGTTGATACTGCTACGGAGTTTTTGTTTGGAGAGTCGGTTCACTCCCTTTATGATGAGAAATTGGGTGTTGCTCCACCAAACAATATTCCAGGAAGAGAAAGTTTTGCTGATGCGTTCAACAAGTCGCAAAAATACCTCGCCACTAGAACTTATATGCAAATGTTTTACTTTTTCATCAACCCCAAGGAATTTAGAGACTGCAATGCTAAAGTACAACACTTGGCTAAATACTTTGTCAACAAGGCACTTAATTTCACACCCGAGGAATTGGAAGAAAAATCTAAAGATGGTTACATTTTCCTTTACGAATTGGTTAAACAAACTAGAAACCCTAAAGTCTTGCAAGATCAATTATTAAACATTATGGTTGCTGGAAGAGACACAACTGCCGGATTGTTATCCTTCACCATGTATGAATTGGCAAGAAACCCCCACATTTGGCAAAAATTGAGACAAGAAATCGTTGAGAATTTCGGCGAAGGAGAAGATTCTCGTGTTGAAGCCATCACTTTTGAAACTTTGAAGAAATGTGAATATTTGAAAGCAGTACTCAACGAAGCACTTAGATTATACCCATCAGTTCCAGTAAACTTTAGAACTGCAACTAGAGACACAACTTTGCCACGTGGTGGAGGTGCTGATGGATCCAAGCCTATCTTTGTCCCCAAAGGTTCTACTGTTGCATACATGGTTTACAAGACTCACAGATTGGAAGAATACTATGGCAAAGACTCGAAGGAGTTCAAACCTGAAAGATGGGAAAATGCAAAGAGATTGGGCTGGGCTTATGTGCCATTCAACGGTGGTCCACGTATCTGTTTGGGTCAACAATTTGCCTTGACTGAAGCTAGTTATGTCGTTGCCAGATTGGCACAATTGTTCCCCACTTTGGAATCGCAAGATGACAATTACCCACCAAAGAAATGTATACATTTGACAATGAACTTGGATGAGGGTGTTTTTGTCAAGATGAAGTAACCGATTCAGTCTCAGTTTCGGTTTTTGTTTGTTTTTGCTTTTACGAAAGTGTGTATACGAAGGGTATATAAGAGATATTTAATTACATTGGGAAAATCTATTATTTATTAACTGTGGATAGACTGTAGTAATCAATAATTCATGAACTTGCTAGTTTGACTCTGTCCAACCCCAACGCCGCTCTCTCTGCCTCTGCCTCTGCCTCTGTCTCTGCCTCTGTCTCTGTCTCTGTCTCTGCTTGGGCCGCTCACACCATCATCTTCAGCACCACCACTCCCTCCTCCGCCATTCCCTTTCAACACCAAACCTCTCAGTTGAACCTCCTTCAAAAACTTCAATTGATGATCCCTCTTGAATTTAAGATACTCAACCACGTCAGGATCTTCCACGCCTTCATCGCTATCTAGATCGACACGTTGAGACTGCTCAGCATTGGGATCCACAGCGTAATTTAGGGGATGGTACTGATACTTATACCGATGCTGTTGTTGTTGTTGCTGTTGCTGCTGCTGCGGCGTGACCAGGCAGGAATAATGCGGTAGGTTCTCTACATCAAGTATCACGTCGTTGATGTTGATGCTGATGCTTTGTGAAGGAGGTGGCACCAGTCGATGGTCACTTAACGGAAGCCTGCCAGAAGTCGCCAAGGTGGATTTTATAAGTTGATTGAGATTTGGGATCGTTGTTTTCGTTGTTGCTGTTGTTGTTGCTGTAGATGGGGATTGCAATGTCGTGATACCGCCATCTTGAAAATCTGAATCTCCCGATTGATCGAGCCCATATCGCTCTATCTTGCTTAATATCTGACTTGGACACTTGTCAATTATCTCTTGTGGAGTTACTACAATCATTGACTTTGTTGACAAAGAAAGAAGGTCCCAACTTGTGTAAGAGATTCAATGTTTTCTCGACCTAGTATTTAACTATATCGCTACCAAATAATTTGCAACTAGCGGCACCACAACTACATCTTCACTGCAATACCATGTGCACCAAACTTGAATATAGCGCTACGTAAGTTTCGATTGCACATCTACACCACTACAAGCATTGCAAAGTTATCACAGCATTTTCCCTCTCAATAGTCCTCCCCCTTCCTGAGACGTGTATACACGTATACAAGCACAACCAGCATCTGCCACTACTCAGTATCAATAACCTGTCCCAACCAGTACTTCACATCATCTCCTAAATTATCCAAAAATCCCAAACTTGCGTAATCAGAAACAATTCCGGTAATCTGATTCACCACGGTTCTTTCCTCAGGCGGAATAGCGGTACTTTTTCCGCCACCACTATACGCACTCACACCGCTACTGTTCTTTGTATTATTTTTGATAATAACAATCAATTTATGTCCATACTTGATGATGTAGCTCATCCAATCGTGCTTATTGCCCAACGTAAATTTATGATAAAATTCATGAGCACTGAAATCGAAATTCCGAGAAATCTTGATCAATTGGTTGTGGATATTAACAATTGTGGCAAATTTTTCATCTTGTTCATCGAGGATTAAGGGTATTGACGATGTGTAATTCATTTGCTTGAAATCAACCACCGTGTATAGGAAATTATTATCAATCTTGGCTAAGTTCAATGTGGCTATCGAATTGGTACTTGTCCCTAGTGTCGATGCTTGATAAGAAACAACTTCTTCTTGTAATGGATTCAAGATGGTCAATGACAAATGTTTGTAAAACTCGGCACTGTCAAGACGTGCTGTCTCCAGCGAGTCGTACACTAAAGTGATGCAGATGTCGTCTCGGAAATATGTCACTAGCTGATACTCGGACTCAGAAAATACCTTTTCAGATCGATCATCATCTCTTGCAATGTTTGTAGAAAGATAAACAAGCTTTCTCAATATAGATTGATCCGGCTGGATACCATACAAGAACCGACAAAGTACATCTTCAACCAGCTTTACTGACTCCTGTCCGTCATCTGCACTTGGCAAACATAAACTACTATTTTCAACTTCACTCGAATCTCCTCCAAACACGCTTGGCATTGAAAGCCATGCTCTCGATGTCTTTGGCTTGAGTGTTTGCGAGTTCTCGTTATTTTCAGTAGAATTTACAGCGCTTTCACCACGAATCATATCGGACATCTTATTCCACGGCAGAACCACCAAGCTATTTGTCAAGTTGATTGGATTCATGAACCCAAGCGTGTCTTCTTCTGCAACAGCGTGGGAATCGCGATCATTACGCCCCCTTTTGCTCGTGGTTCGCATAACATAGTCAAACTCCATCCACTTATGGAGATCCACCAAGGACTCGTATTCCAACCCACCTACTAAGGACTCTATATGGATAAGACCCATTTTCTTCACAACTGGTGCAAAGCTGCTGATAACGAGACCATGCGGAATCAACTCTTCACTCAACAACAACCCTTTGAACTCATCTTTGACTCTCTTTGAAATTGAAATAGACGACTTTCTATAACCGTCCGCAATCATGTTATTGAACCCGGAGTAGTTGAAAATATGAGGCCATTTAATATCTCGCGTGCTTAAATTTTGATTGTAGTCGGACAAAAACTCACTCCACCATCGACTTGACAAATCTCGCAACACATCGTCTCCTGTATCCTCCTTTATACTCTTTAACGATTTGTGAAATAGTTTGAAAAAGGAATGCTGCTGATTGAGTAGATACTGCAATTGTTTAGTGACAGTTTGATCGTTGGATGCGATGGAGCATATAAGACTGTACGACTTCTCAATTTGAACCACAACAAAACTCTCACCCTCTGAACTGACAATCATAGGCTTTTTCACACTCTTTTCCGCCTTGGGTGTGGTGATGAACTCCAGGGAGAAGGCATAGACACCTTGCATTAATCCAGCCAATCGTATTTTGACATTGGGACTAATCTCAGTACTTGTATCACTATGTACAAACGTAATCAATCGCTTGCTCAACTCCGAGTCCAGCTCTTCCTTTGAGTCCAGAACTTCTTCGCCAGTATCAATAACTGCAATGTACTTGATCTGTCCAGGGCCCACTGAGTTCAACGACTCCACATTTTTAGACGTTTCTGCTGCACTCAATGAGTTTTTGAAGTTTGGTAGGTACTGTGTAATGTAGCTTGCCATGTTGCAGCATAATCTCTCCCTACGCAGCCGTGAATTTGCAAAAACGTGATTCTTAATGATGATGAAAGTTGTGGTTGTTATTGTAACCGCGTATTGTTGTCAATAAAAAATTGAACAATCAGCACCTCAGTAACTGAATACCTCACAACACTTTGGCTCCCACGTGATGGCCGAGCCAACTCAAACGGACACCTTGTTACCTCCCTAGTTACTATCACTTTCATTTGCAATAGATGAAGTTCGAATTTGCTGTGTGTTTGGAAATTCACTCGTATTGTAGGTGCCAGTCCTACTTGATGAACAAGTGTAGAGGCAAGTCAAATAAATCGACGGCCAAATTGCAAAGCAAGACTATATTGTACATCTACAGGTTATCTGAATGAAAAAAAAAACAAATTCTTCGATAAGTATTTTAGAGGAAGATGTAGAGTCTTACAAACTAGTTTTAGAACTATGGAGACTGCGTACGGATGTTAATTGACTTGCTTGGTCTTATGTGACGCGAGCCATTATGTTCCTTTGGGAGATTCGGCAATTGTCCGTTGTTGGTTGTAAATTGCGTGTATCAGGTGTATTCCAGGAGTTTGAAGGATACACCTCGTTATGACATGGGGCGACAGTTTTATTGACCGTATTTGCTGAGTATGACAGCGTGTTCGTTGAGAGGTTGACAGAATTAAGAAGCTTCTCCACAAGGCACACCTAAAACATAACTAAATAACTTCCCTTCACGTGTTATACAGCTCCAGTATTACCGGTCATGAGTCAGAAAGAATAAACATGATTGCATCAATAATGGAAAAAAAAAACAAGAAAGATCATGGTGTGTGTGAATGAAGTGGATCTGATATCGGCTTTGGTACGACTTTAGTCGTTACATTGTCTTAAAACGAAGAACCCATAGAACGTATGTCCATGTCGCTTTATCTTCTGTTGAGAATGCTCACTTTTAAGTTTTCAGGAAAGCAGAGTTGAGATAAACTTGTGATGCAGAAGCTCATGTGTTGTTTTAA